CCATCCACCCATCCACCCATCCATCCTACCTTCCTTCCTGCCATCTAGTTATTCATTCATCCCTGTATCCACCCATTATTCCATGCCACAGTTATCCTTTAAAAATGATCTGCTCTCACTATCCCCTCCAACTTCCCCTCCCCCCTCCCTTCTTGTACCTGCTCCAACCCACTGACCTTATCTTGGTTTGGGTCACCTCAGGGCCTTTGAACCGGCTGTCCCCTCTGCCTCATGTATCCTTTCTCATACCTGTGTATGCTCATCCCCTCATTTAAACCCGTGCTCAAATGTTACCCCTTTCCAGGCATCTTCCCTCATCACCTACCTTAACTACCTTAAATACCTCTGCTCTAATACTCTATTCTTCGATCCAGCTTTACTTTTCTTTATCACACTTAGCACTGTTCTGCTTCCTGAGATAACAGGATTGATGTGTGACCTCAGTTCCATGCAGGCAGGGATCTTTGGTTCACAGCTGTGTATCCTTAGCACCTAGGGCCATACCTGGGGGTCTAGTTGATAAAGTAGGTGCTTAACATATGATAGCTGAGAATAATCGGACTACACCATAATGGATACCCTTGATTGCAGTGCTATGTCTCCATCATTCAGTGGGGCAATGAAAACATCTAGGCAGAACCTGATACTCAGCAGTTATTCAACAAATACTTGTGATTATTTTAAAAGCTGTCGTGCGGGTGGGGTGCCAACCTTACTAGAACCTGTTTGGTAAGGACCCCAGGGGTGATTCACCCAGTTCTCTGTCCCCAGGAAGTAAAGCTGGTGACCTGGCTCAGACCCTGTGTGCTGACCTGGCTGCTGACCTTTGCTGACCCTGAAGCCAGGAGCTGTTCCTTTCATTATTGCTGCAAAAAAGGGAGAGTGTTCTTTGAGGGCCACTTAGATTCCTTGATGTTTGGGATTGCAAAGCTTTCTTGGTGGTCTCCAGCTGGGTCCGCTGGGCAGGGTTTCTCAAGGCAGTGGCATGTTGTGAAGTTCACTTGTGAGCACCGTGGAAGCTACACCTCACACACTGGGTGTCAGGGAGCAGTGCCAGGCCTGCCTCAGCTGCTCAGCAGTGAAGCAGCCTCATGCTGGAGGGGGTGGACCTTGGGGTCCCAGTACAGGGGTTCACATCCCAGACCCGGTGTCTGCTAGCCCGTGATCTCGGGAAGTGACTTGATCCTTTTGAATCAAAGTTTCCTCATCTGTAAAAAGGGAATGATGTATTATTCACTGGGATTTTCTGAACTTGAAACAAGACAACTACATCAGCACCTAGAATTGTAACAACAAATAAATGTTTCTGCTGTGATTATTGTTTAGAATGGCCAGGGTTAGAAAATTCAAGATGCTCAGTTAAATTTAAATTTCAGGTCAACCACAGATTTTTTAAGTATAAGTATATCCCATGCAATCTTGGAGATATACTTATACTAAAAAAGTTATTTGTTGCTGATCTGAAATTCAGTTGTAACTGTCCTGGCAAATCTCCCTACCACCTGTTATCACCCATCTTTGCTTTCTCTTCACTGCCTGTTCTCGCCACAGACAGTTATTCCAATACATTGTGTTTCTAGAAAATGTTCTTTTTTGCTTTATGCATTTAAATTTTTTTTTCAAATAGACCATGTGGGGAGAAGAATTTTAGACTTATAGAAAAATATGAGCATTCCATCTACTCCTTGTCCAGTTTTCCCTGTAGTTAACATCTTAATTCATAGGTTACACTTGTTACAATGAATGAATTGCTATTGAAACGGCATTAACTACAATCTCTGCTTTGCTCAGGTTTCCTTAATTTTTGATGGGTCCTTAGTAGTTCTTTAAAGGTGGGTGGAGTCCCATCCCACCAACTCTGTGACACCTATGTGTCATATCTCCCGAGGAACCTCTTGGTCATGACAGTTTCTCTGAACTGTGTGCATGTTAAATTTTCACAAGAGACCCACTATCTTCCAGCTCCTTCTGTTTCTGGCACTTTTCCCTCAATGCTTTTTTTTCTGGACCATTCATTTTCTGCATGTTCAGCTAAACTGTTATTGCTAAGAGAGGAGCGGCAGTCACTCCCCCCTCCCCCCATTGATAACAGTGCCCAGTGAGCTCCAGCTGTGTCTCGCAAACAGGATTGAGAACGAATGATCACCCCCTTTCGGGCCAGTGTTCCATGATCTCCTCCTGCTCCCCCCATGCCCTCCTGGTGTTGAGCTCTTGTAGAAGTTTGCTCAGCTGGGGCCTCTGCAGGTCTGAACAGCTCTTCTTGGGGTGCTCATCTCTGGCCTTGAGCAGCAGCCTGGAACTGGAGTGGGATGTTGCTTGACTATACCCGGCAAGGTTTGGGGACCAGATGCTGCAACTGTCCCCCCACTCAACTGTCCCCATCCTTCCAGGCTGGGCTGTCTTTGAGGGTCTGGTTTCTTCATGGTTTTAGGATACAGGGAAAGAAAATGAGTTTCTATCAGCGATCCATTAAAAATTATCCACTTAGCCTTACCTCCAAAGAACTTTGCTTCTATAAAACACTAGTTGGTGAAGTTCATTTCCTTCCCTAGTTGACATCTGGGCAGGTTGTCATTCTTTCCACAGGGTGATCACTGGGTGTTTCACCTTTTCGGTTGTGTGCATATTTCCATGTGTTGACATTCTGTCCACTATGTCCATATACATGACATATGAATATGACATTAGATCATATCCAAATGTGTCTATATTAATAGTTTAATTAAATGAGCAAATCAGTTTGCCTCTGTGTTTCCTTACACTTGACCATTTGATTCGAGTTTCATTCAAAGAGGTTGCTTGAGATGCAAGGGGGTGACAGACACCTTCATCCTTGTTGCTGTCATTACTGTCAAATGGGAGGCTGATGGAAGTAGTTTGGGCCTTTCCCAGCCTGGACCCCCTCGATGGGGCTATAGGAGGCTGGTACCTCCCCCCACGCGCTCCCACACCACTACCCTGAGCCAGAAGGACAGAGGCAGGGTCTCACTGGGGTGTCTGGAGAGCGGGTGAGCCCCAAGCAGGGTGAGGCTCTTGGTGGTCCTGGGTGGGGGGTGTGTTTGTGGGGCCACCTGGCAGGCCCCACAGTCATCTTCGTGGGTAGCTGGATCTTCTAAACAGGGACTGGAGGAGAGGACTGGCCAAGGGAGCAACCCATGACTTACTCCGGGCTGCCCTTCCCAGGACTGGGCTTCCCGCACCCGTAACAGAGTCGGCCTTTTCCCGCAGGGTCTGCCACTCTGTGGCTGCTTCTGGCAGAGTCAGGGATGGAGTTGGCACAGGCTGCCTTGCCAGGGTCACAGCTTCATTCAGAAGGCACAGGTCACCTCCCCGGCCCATTGGGGTCAGGTGGGATCCAAAAATGCGTGGGACGCCCATGAAGCTGTGGGATGCCCCGACCCCTGACTTCATACCTTATAGGCCCGGCAGCGTCTCCTGCCTGACATCTCAACCCTATTACTGCCCTGAATTGAATAGGGGCCAGAGGACACTGTGGTTGGGACTTCGTGACCTGTAGAGACGACTGTGGACCTGGAAGGTCAGAACGTGTTCTGAAAACCAGAGGCCACTCTTTCCTTTGCCCCCCACCTCTTTCTCTGGAAGGGAACTATGCCTCTGAGTAACCTTAGGCCTGTGGGTGGAGACACTGGGACTTGAGGAATGGCTCTGCCTTTAGCGTTTGGTTTTGCCCGTGATTTAAGGAGCGAAGTAACATCTTGAGTGCCTTCTGTGTGCCTCTTGACCTGGGGTCTTGCTTTCCTGGGATGCCTTTAATCAGTCTTCATGAATACCCTGCATGACTGGCATTAGCTCACCTTTTTTTTTTTTTTTTTAAAGATTTATTTATTTATTCATACAGAACTGGGGTACAGGCCAGAGATGTGGAGGGTGAGAGGCTTCACCAGAGAGAGTGGGGAGCAGAACAGGCAGATCTACGAAGTACACTGCTGAGGGGAGCAGCGGGCGGGTCAGGAGAGGTCTGCCACACCATGTGGTCACCTCCGGGGCAGGCGGGAATCGAACTCATGCGGAAGCGGCTTTAGATTCTCAGTGCTGTGCTTTAACCTGCTGCGCCACCAAGGAGGGCCTAGCTCACCTTTTTAAGGAGAGGAGGATGGAGGTTCAGAGAGGGTGGTGGC